ATAACTACTGCAATTTGTTTTTGTTGAATAAGTTATAATTTTTAAAAATATTTGTGCCCAAAATATCCGCCCAGCCCTGTACTAGGCGATTGGCTTACTCACCCCTCAAACACAATTTCAGCAGATTTCTTTACGCGATTGCTGTTATCACGAAACAGAAATCAAATTATTAGCTACCTCTAGATTTGAACCTTCAAAACGATATTTCGATGGTCGATTGCACAAAGTGGTAATAACAGTAAATAAAATCTAAAAACGGATTAAAAAATTTAAGGACTCATTCGAATTTGAGACAATTACGAAGTTTTATTGCTTTAAGTGAATATCGCTATAAATAGGATAAATGGTTTCGGTGCATGTAGAGATAGCATTTATGGGGTGATACCACTCTAAATTGGGGAGAAATATTTTATACCCTAATATTTTTTGTAACTTAAATTTATTTCACAATTGCTAAAATGCATTTCAAAATTTTGAATGCAAAAAATTTTTTGGCGATTATCTTAGCCTATGGGATGGAGGATGGTGACAAAAACTTTTGCATTTTTTTGCTAATTCCACATAAATGATTTGGCCGATCGTCGCTCAAAATAGATAAACGCTAGTTCTTATCAATATACATCGATTGGCTTTTCACCTGTTTTAAAGAAACTATTTGCAATGACTCGAAACGTTAAGAAAATAAAAAAATACCAAGTCGAATTTATTTGTAAAAACAAATTTCTTCTTCGAAAAATTAACAAATCATAGGTTGCAACATTTTATTTTATTGTTGCCGCAAATCTTTCACTTTATACATGGCGTTTAAAATCTACACTTAAACAATGTTAGTGCCGATAAAGAAACTGATTTCACAGTAAAGTGCATTAAATCGTTATATTGCATTACAAGTAAAATTTATATCGTAATTCGCATCTTGACAAGTGGAAAATGTCAAGAATATTTAATACGTTTCAATAGGTCTGCAAGATTCACTTCTTTGATAAGGGACAAATACCGCAGAGCTTTTGAAAGCTTTCTATTTCTTGGCTTGCACTAAAAATAAAATGACGCGATTACAAGCAAAACTATAAAGTAAATTTTAGAAATGTATGAATGTTTAGCTATAAAGCAGTCAGTTTTCAGTTTTGTGTGAGGCCCAATACTATCATATATTTTGAAGTTTCAGTTAATACCTGTAGAATATTTGCATCCCATTACTGACCGACTCTCGGAAACCAATAGAATTGTGATTTGAATAGAAAAAAAAATTTTTTTATATAACTACTTGCTTGCAAAAAAGAATAGTCGATAATAGAAGCAAATCTAGTCAAGGAATGCCTTTAAATTATTTTATGTTAAGTAAGTAATTTATCAGAAACGCAAACTTATGCGAGAGTGCATATACAAGTACCTCTGTTCATGCATTATGGTGACTTTAGAAATTTAAATAAAAAATACGCGTAATTTTGCGAGACGTAAAATGTAAATAAATGCAAACATCTAAGGACGTATTTTGTATCCTTTCAGAGCGCATATTTTTCTTAAGGTCTTTGCTGGAGATTTGTGCACATGCTTCTCTCTATCATATACATAGAACGTAGAACGTAAATATTTAACTAGGGTTTTTTACTACGGTCATAGAGCGGCTCTTGTGCGCTCTTTATGATTCTGTCGAGGTTACTGTTCAGGACGATTCTGTATTCTACATCTCACAAGGAATAACTAATTCAATGCATAAATAATTGAATGAAAATAATGTTGTATTGTCCTGTATAATTATTTCCGTCGTTTTTGGTGACATAAAAGGAGTGATTCGAAATAATTTATTCCTGCGATAAAATAAATTATATATAAAAACAAATTATATATATATATATATATATATATAAATATATCTACATATATATAAAAATAAGTCGGGTTTTCCTTCCTGACGATATAACTCCAGAACGCACGAACCGATTTGGACAATTTTGCATTCGTTGGAAAGGTCTCGGGTTCCGCAAGGTTTACAGCTAAGAAAATTAGTAAAAATCAGCATCGCATCGTGCCTTAATGCAAATTGCTGGAACTTCACGCACCGTAATTAAAAATTCAAGTAATGACATTAGTGAGAATTATCAGAATTATGCTTGGTTAAGTCAACGAGCAATTCTTACCGCAAAGAATATTTATGTACACGCACTGAATTTCACCATTCAATAAAAAATTTTTGGCGATTTGGTGACATACCAATGATTCCGACTGGTCTTCCGTTCGACTTAAAACAACTGCAATTTCCAGTTCGCCTTGCGTTTGCAATGACAATTAACAAATCGCAATAACAGGCCAATCGCTTAGTGTTTGTGGGATAAATTTCAAATAGATTATTTAGGAAATCATTGTTTTTCACATGGGCAGTTATACGTTGTCTGTTCACAAAAAACAAAAAATGTGGTTTACCAAAGAGCACTTCAATGAAATGAATAATTTGCGGATTCACTTCCATTTACTTAGAGAAGTTCAACTAAAAAACACTTCATTTTCGTAATCGAAATAAATTTATTACTGTTGTGTTGAAAGCAAATTTTTCCTATTTAAATATAAAACGAACAACAAATTTCTTTATCTGGTGGCGAAACGGAGTTCGTCGGGTTTGCTAGTATATATATATATATATATATATATATATATATATATATATATATTAAATAATATCTATTATTGATTACGACTTGTTCATGAATAAATAAATATATATATATATATATATATATATATATATATATATACATAATTTTAGTATCGTGATGTTAGTGATTGTACTCCTTTAACATATTGACCAATTTTTATAAAATTTTATAGATACATTTAGCAGAACTGATAATTGATTATCTCAATTGAAAACACGTTAAGCCCTAAATTTTCAAAAAATAATATTGGTAATTAATTTTGTAAATTGCGAATTTGTTCAACATAAATATATACATTTACTAGCATTGTGATAAGGTACTTCAAAGTAAAGTGAAAAATGTCTGAAAAATAGACAAACCAAAAAAAAATCAATTTCAACTGTTTTTGTAGTAGCAGTAACCTTATGAGAAATTGAAATATTTTTTAGAAATTAAATGCTTATGTAAAGATAATTATCATATTTTGTTCACATTTATAAACCACAATGCAACAACCCCACCTTTTTTATTATCCACAAACCTCGAGCTTCCATATCGGAGCTTTCAAGCATCACTTTAAGCTTTCGCTCACATTCCATAGATGTGGGCACAAATAAAGTCCGACTTCGTACGAGTCTGAACGAAAACATTCGTTCACAGCCATATTGTTGTATTGCGGTGAAAAACGTCCAGACGAAGTTTATTTCCAAAATATTAACAAAAGTCAACTAGATGTGACCGCAACCATAAAACTGATAAAAGCTTGGATTAATTAGTGTCGTGGAAGAAATAATAGTGACTCAAATATGTGACCAAAAGCAGAGACCTACTTAAAGGTGGCCTCGAAAGGGTACGTAATATAAAATATTCATAAAAAGATAAAAAATATCTGAACAGTATTTTTTATACGAAAATTAAAATGATAATTCATATAAAAATTGTAAGTGATAAATTATAATTTAAAGTTTATTTTATTGATACGTTATATAAGTTAAGGTTATGTTGATATGCATGTCATTCAAAATTGAAGTTGTAGTTACAACCGACTAAAAAAAGACAATATATATATATATATATATATATATATATACATATTGGAATATTATTATATAGAAATAATACTCATAATCCTTATACACATATAATGATTTGGCGATAATAATAATAAAAATATTATTTGGGAAATTGAATGAGTTCGCAAATGTATGTAACTAACTAGTGAAATAAAATTACATATGAATATTATATAGAAGTGAATAAAATTTGTATTATAAGTATATTCTAATTCAATGTACTTATAACAATATAATAAAAAAAATATTTTTATTGAAATGACTATAAATTCTAGGTCAAACTTGACGCAGTAGTATAATCTGCGTGCGTAGTATATGAATGAAAGTATAAATATTATAAATATAAATATAAATATAAATATATATATATATATATATATATATAAATTCAATGTTTTGAATAAGTAACTTTGACCTGCCTTATTTTTCGATATACGTACATATGCCTTAATAAAAAATATGATTTCATACAAGAAACGACTCGCCAATAATTTAATAAAAAATTATGAATCGATATATTGATCTGCATAAATTATCCCATATCTGCAAAATCCAAGTTTTCATTAAATATCATATGGCATATAAAGCTTATCGATTTCAAAGCCCAGGGTAAAAATTGCGGCGAGTCAGGGGTGAAAACCAGTTGACCCACATTCGCAAACTAAACGCGCACGCATTAATGCGCATGTGTCATGGCGCATTCGATACCAAAAGCTCGCTCAAAAATGTAATAAAAAAAAAAGTTAGATAAAATATATATAATTTTAGAATTTACATCACTATATCAGTATTAGATTAAAAGTGTTAAATATGGTTTAAGTTCTGTGCAAAAAATTCAAGCAATATGTGTTTTAGTGATATGTAGTATTAACAAATCAAATCAAGATTATGTTCTAGAATATAGTGAAAATGCAGTGTTATATTATGCAATAAAAATCATTACTAATATTACGTGGAAGTAACTGTCAATATGAAACTCGATCTCTATTAACAAGAATAAGATAATAAAAATGTTGAAAAATTTCTGTAAAAAATGAAATTATACTCAAGCCGATGTTAAGCGATTTATGATTCAATTGTAAAATACAAGGTTTTGGATTAAAGTTATAGTGCATTAAAATATTTTGTTATTCAAATCATATGCAACTTTTTTGGTCGCTGACAATCCATCGTTCGCAATTGGAGGTATGCTCAATTGTATCTACTGAAGCTAATAAAATGTTAGAATAATGTTGAAAAGTTGCAGAAAAAGATAAAATTATAGATTTGCTCAAGTTGTGTGATTTTTGTTCCAAAAATGCCTAAGCCCGTCCCAGTGGAGGATCTTATCATTCCTCCCCAAGACGGAAGGATATGCGGTACGATATGCATCTGTCAAATGACGTGCGTATTGAGCAGCGTTGCCTTGGTATATCTGACAGTAGCAATCTACATGCCATCTACCCGCGCCTTCCAATCAGGCGTATCAGAAGTACCAATGATGTGCACCACAACTCGAGCCATCACAACTGACAACTGCGACTGGGGAAGTTGTGGTGAATGGTGCCTGAGCAAAACTTCTGGTTCCTGCATGCAAATATATGTCAACTTGCGCAGAAACGGCACTGATTTACTATTCGGAAATTGTACGAACGCAGCAAACAAGACTTGTTATGGAATTGATCAAGACAACGCCAAAAAACACAAGTGCGTCAAAGAAGACTGCAAAAACCTCACTGGTACCTTCAATTGCACAATGGGTGTGTGCATTAATATAACTGATGCATTTGAGTGTGTGTTTAGTGAAACTGACCCTCCTCTCAAGTGTAGTGGAAGACGTGGAAAAATCACGTGCATCGATATGCATGGGTTGTTTAGTTGTAATCGCGGTATTTGTGAACGAATTCGGACACCTTATAATTGTGATAGACGTTGTGTTGATATACCTACAAGAAACAAGAATATGATCCTGTTGAGCGGAGACCGGGTATACTTGTCCCAGTGCCAACGAGCTTCAAACGTAGACACAGGCGAAGAAGTTTGGAACGAATCGGAAGATAATATTTTGATGGCGTCCTGTCATGTGGTTACAAATGGTACAAATGGAATAGAAGCTGTCGATTGTATAAATGGTTCCGTCCTCGAAAAAAATATTTTGACAGATTTAACAAATTTCACGTACTTGAGTTATTTGAGTATATTCAGCACTAGAGCTGTCCACAAAATTGCACCACCGGAAGCCGATTTGATCATAGCCAATGAAAGTAGACTTTTGATTAATTTAGAAGGTTGCGTCAATACATTACAAGATGAATGCAATGGTTTCCTGAAAGAATTTGGCAAAGATGGAACAGATCATAATGCACGTGCACGTTTTCCATGTTTCTTTGCAGAACATGATACATCTATGGTCGTAGCAAGATTCGACTTAGCTAAAACTTATAGGCAGTTTGTTGTGGCTTCTGTATTACCATCAGTTTTGTTTGTAGTGTCTTGTTTAACATTGATTTTATGCCAGCGGACAGTGGTAGTGGGCGATGATGCCAAAATGCGATTTAAGGGTTGTCCAGGGGCTGAACTGATTGTTGCAACAGGAGAAAAAGGTTCACAAAATAATCTTGCTGATGGAGGAGGAGGGGAAGACGGTGTTATGGCCCTCTGAGATCCGTCACGTAAGGATAATTGATAATAAGCCAGACTTATGAGATAATGAATTGTGAATAAATGACTAATAATGTGATTGACTATTTAACTTCTTTATTCAATCCAATTAAAGCTGACAATATGTATTTGCAAATGCATACAGTATCAATAATTAATAGATATTGGTAACAAACAATGAATGAAGTCAAATATGATGTTTTGTGAATCATATAATGTAATATGACTCACAATAAAGCATTATTTGAACTATTTGCGAAATAAAACTTATATTGTATACTAATATGAAAAAAATAATATGGGTAAATCAAAATAATGATAGATAAAAAATCTTATTAAGCGCATGAAATATTATCAACATTGATTCTAATTATATATATATATATATATATATATATATATATATATATAATTTAAGTTATTTCACTGAGATTAACTATGTTATTTTTATTACAGGCGTTCCCCTACTGCAAGACAGTCCCGTTCACTAACAGGGTGTGTTTTCACTACAATAGTCCTGCATATCGAATGAATAACATCAGACAATATAATTTATAATACAACATAATTATTAACAACGCTGATCGGACAACACCCGAGAAGACCAAAACTTAATAGCAAATATTGTACCACAGAATATTAGCACGCGCTTGTAACATCTCAGACTGCCGCACTGAGATTTTTAAACTTCTCTATAGTCTTAGATTCCCCCTTCTCTATATTAAGTAGTCCTAATAATAAAATTGCACAAGTTACGCTTTAATTAGTTGGAAATAGTTTTGTTCATTTATAGTTTCTTGGAATATTGCAACCAGGAATTGACTATAAAGACAATTTAATAATAATTGAGTTATTATGACCAATAGTATCTCCTGTAGTTGACGACACATAATCGAATGGCAAAAAACTCAAGCGCTGCGTAATTTGAAGCCGGGTGAATCTCTAACGCACAGCAGACAAACTAAATAAATTATATTACGAAACGGGGGGAGCGCGTGATAAAACATCATATTATCAATTGCATTCATCATTTACGCATCTCATTCATCAACAAGCTGTGCTCATCGCTAAACAATCGCAGCTCTTTTGTATATAGAGTTTTGCTAGGATTCACTAAAGTAATTAAGAAGTAGAAGTAGAATTTGAATCTTGGTGTGGATTCGCATGATTTCATAGCGTTTCATCAACGGCCTCGCCATTGAGTCCGACGAGTCAACAATCATCATGGGGGGAGGCAGCGTGGAGCGGCTCAGCGGAAAAGATCCCGCGGGCAGCGGCGACGAAAACGAAGAAGACGGGAATAAACCTAAACCAGGAATCAAGCCTCCTCTCACAGAAGAAGTTATAGCATCATTACTTGAAAAAGCAAAATTTTACACATCTCTCTGTCTAGGAACTACGGCCATAGTATCAATGTTTGCTTTCCTTTTCCTCATACCCTTCGTCGTAGATCCAGCAATTTCAACAATAGTTGCAGACTACGATCCAGATCCTGTTACATGTATGGCAACAGATCATGTTTACGCAGAAGGATTGCGCAATTGCAGTTGGTCATCTTGTAGAGAAGGTTGCACAAATGCTGCAACGAGATGTCATCAAATATTAGTGAACTACAGTCGCACCAAATGGACCAGTTTTGCGGGTGATGTAGACAGCTTAATTTGGGACGTTGGAGATACAAGATTTCTAGTAAACACTGAAGGCTGTGGATACCCTCCTCGCGTGAATTGTTCAGAATTTGCCAAAGCATATGGCTATGACAAACTCGGTATACCATTCCCATGCTACTACAGTAGAACTTATCCGGAAATGGTCGTAGCTAGGTATAGCTGGGATGATAACTTGCGTCATCTCGTGCTATCTCTTATAATACCAAATGTGTTATTCGCTGTATCTATCGGGGTCCTTAGCTACTGGTATTGCGCCTGCTGCGATCGTGCTTGCCAGCGCAGCACCAGGGTTTATGCAGAGAAGTTTCCTCCAAAGGAAGAGTAAGTCCATCCAGATTCCCGATGGCATGCGGAGTAGAAGAACGCATCTGGATGTCTATCGATATTGCTTGCTTATTGCTCTAACACTTACGTCTGCCTGTAGTTGCATACTAAGGAATGCTATTCACGGTATTGTTTATGCAGGATGTTTCTCAAATTAAATTTGAAGATTAGTTCTACTATTATTTTTAATATTTCAAATATTTAATGTTTTGCATGTATTCGAATGCTTAGAACATATCAAAAGTAGATCTTATAGAGAACAGTGTGACCATAATATTTCAAGATTGTACCTATTTTTTCACATAGAACTGATCTTCTCAACATTTAGTACTTAATTCTGTAGTTGCCTATGATTTGAATCCTCAAATGTGTTGTATCCTCAGGTGTTTAGAGTCGTTTCATTTGTGCAATGCAAAATAATATTAATTAACTATAATTTATCTTTTTAATAATCTTATCGATATTACGCACCAATTTTTGCAGTAAACTATTATGCCGCAGTGACGACGAAGATGAATTCGATGAAGAATTTGATTGACAGCACGATCAAGAGATGGAAATGCTTTGGATGAAATAAAGAATTTGACACGTATTTAATAAGTTCAGCTAAAAGAAAACCGAAATGTCTTAAAACTAACTTTAATATAATGGTGCAAATTTCTTGTAGTTTGTAAGATATAAAATGCTTTGCGTTGAAATGGTTGAATAATCTTTGACTTGAATCAGTATATATTATTTGTATTAATACATTCATAATCATTCTGAAGGAAAAGTATGAAATAGTATCGAAGCACAGAAAAATATTACAGTTTTAACACTTTGACACTAACATAAGCTACAGAACCACACAAGCAATACAACAAAATCAGCATATCGCTTTTAAATTATTTACTATTTCCAATCTATGCTTCACCGCTTAAAAGTTCATAAAAATTTAATATTATCTAACTATTGAAAATAATAAGTAATACTCACAAAGTAATTATTTTTAAAGCTTTAAATCTAATTTTACGAGCATGATTTTTGCATTATAAAAGCACAATAGTTTTATATCTATCAATAATAATTACATAGATAAAACTCAATACACCTTTTTCTAAAACTTTAATTTATTATATTATTAGATATTATATTTATAATATTTTAAGATTATATTAGTTATCTAAAATTGATGTAAAAAATGAGGCTGTGCGTACTTTTTAGAAATGGGCACATACGATGTTAAATCATCCTTTTTATAAAATATATGAATAACTAGTGCAAAAAATTTAAATATAAAATAATTTGTTTATTGAAATTAATTAATTTCTTATCTAAAATGTTTTTAAAAATGTGACCTGTTTAGAAAAATATACCAAATATTAGTTACATGTTATAACATCTTCAATGCTAATGAAACTACAAAAAATGTGTCCATTTCAAAACTGTCGTTATTTTCAAATGCTATTATTTTAAATTCAATTGAAATACGCTGCGAATTGTAATTTATTATATAAGATGAAAAACAAGATACTATGTAAAGTAAACTTATATATTTAATCAACTTCTAATATTTTTCAAAAGAAACTTATGATTTAGTAAAGAAGTATACTTTTTTAGGTTTAAGTTTTTAACCATGGTAAACAAATAAAAAACGTCATTTTTAAGTTATTCAGAAATAAATTTTATATTTAGCACACCAATAAAAAAATGTCACCTATCCAATCTAATATTAAGAAAATAATATTCAGATTTGGTGGAAGTATGGGTTATATACTTATTTATTTGAATTAAATTATTATAAAAATTACTAGGATGAATCTGTTATAATTTTAAAGTTCTCTGATATTGAAAAAACTTATATTCTGCAAAGGAACAGTAATTCTTGAAATTAGCTGCTAGTAAACTTAGTTAAAATAATGCAGATTTTTAGCCTTTTGTAGTCAGCTGAATCATATAAAATATAAATGAATACAAAATTAAAATTATATTGAATGATGAGATTTATGTGTAAGCATTTATAGATTTTTGTTTGTTTGTTAACAACACTCAAATTATAAATTATATGAGGTGGTTATACCATGGTTAGAATACTATAAACGCCTACAAAAGTTTTCTGCTTTAATTAAGCCAACATATCTTTAGTACGTTTCATTAGCTTAAAGAATTTAAAATCAAATTTTTGTTTTCTCCTTATCCAGGTTAACAACAGCTATATAACGGTAAAGAAAAACCATCCTGGAATTTTAGCTTAAGCTTTGAGGTAATCAGACAGTAGTAAATTCGAACACAATTTGGAATCATCTATGCAAAATTTCATAATCACACATATACTTCATTATATTTTTTCCTAATTACACAATTATATTATAGATTCTATAAATCCAACATTGCCTAGGAATATGATAATAAAAATAATTATATTATTGTTCTACTGCCTTTCATTTGTAAAGTGTAAATATAAAAATCTGAAGTTATTTATTCGTAACCTCGTTTAAATTAGATATTTCGAATAGTTTAATTTGTTGCTATTTTGTCAAATTTAAAAAGCACTATTTACAAAAATTGCAATTAATCAAATATCGCTTCAGAATTTTTTGTAGTAATATCTATCATTTCAAAGACAATAGTTAATAGAAGATCATTAAATACGAAACTAATAAATATATACATATATCAGATTTATCAATAGCATTTGTTGATTGTTATTAAAATCGCTATAATTAAATAAAATTTTTCCTCATATAAATATTATAGTTAGGCAACCATTATTCCTGTTATGATAAACTTGGTATCCTTCAAATAAAAATAGATATTTTCTCATAAAGTTTTGCACCTCATCTATAATCAAGTTTCATATAAAGCCTTCTACAAATTTATATGTATATCAAAAAGGCATTTGTAATCGATAAAAAATATATAGATTTTTCTAAACTTTTGGTGTTTTATTTGTTGTATATATTGATTGTATTGATTTTTTTCTTTTATCAGAGAAGATAAGAAGAGAAACAGAAAAGAGTTTTTATCAAGTTGCATCAAATGGTTTTGAAATTTTTGAAATTGATTCATCCGTTTTGGAGAAAACTTTAATATAAGCCTGACACAAACAAAAAACTGTAAGACTAAAAAAATGTAACATTCAAGATGACTGCAATATGAATCTAATTTTAAAATATAATTTAACACAAAATAAAGAAATCTCAGAAAACTTAACTGTTCAACTTATATAAAGTCATACGTGAAATAAAACTGTATTGTAGTGTTAAGTAGAAACATAATCTAAATGGATTCTGATATCCATCTAATTATTAAAACATTGAAATTTTAATAGACTGCGTACAAAGTTTTAGATAAACAAGACCTTGGCAAAACATACTTCATATGTTATAGCTACCATACATGCCAAGTTAAATCTTGATATAGCTTTCATTACACGACGAAACTAATTAATATTCCTGAAGGTGTCTGAATAATTTATAAATCACATAAAAGCGTTTACTGCAGTGAAATAATTATTCCAAAACGATACTATTAAAGTTATTTTTAAAAACAATTATTTTTATTTTTAATAACATTAATTACGATCAGTTATTTTAAAAGCTTTAGGCAATTAGCACATTATTCTAGAACTTGTTAAATCAATTTTTATTAATCAAGACCATTATCTTCACATATTAGGAGATTCATAAAATTTATCTTAAAGAAAAATGCCACCCATACCAAATTTAATTTATTACATGTAAATTTTTTACACAAAAAATCACTTAAACAAAATGTTTTCCGCTTGAAATGATCTTATTTTCCACGAGTTATACGATACAAACCCTTTTAATGGCATAAAAGCCATCCATTACCATGGTATCAGCAGTAAACATTATCTACTTAATACGGGCAATATCATCACCTTGATAAAAAGCATATAACGTCTTAATCATTTATTTTTATATGTCTTCATATTATTAAGAAAATTTCTTGGGATAGTACGCAGAATCACAAAAAAATATATTCGAAAAGTTACGGTGGAGACGCCTTGTACTTTGCAATTGTGTATTTGCATTAATAATTTGCATAAGAAAATTTATTAAAAAGTTCTGACGATTGTATTGAATATTTAAACAATTTTTCAAAACTAACAATAAACTAGAAAATAATTTAAAAAATACAAAACAAACAATAGTTATACAATACTCTTGCCCTGACTTTATTTAGTTTCAATCTTTTTAAAAAATAATTTTGTAAACTGAAATAAATCATTTATAATGTCAAATAATTCTAGCAGTTACGATATTGCAATTATAATGGAAGACGTTAAAGTATTATTGATTTTTAAACGCAAACAAACGATCGTAGTTTACTGTATATAATTGTCTAAACAGATAAAATCTATTTATCAACTATACCGTTTTTAGCATGCAATTATTTGCTAATATAATTACTAATAATAATAATTGACACATTTAAATTAAATTTTAAAATCAATAACAGTGGTAAAACCTATGAACTCATTATAACATTTGACTAAACAAAAAAACTCGAAAAACACTGCGAACACCACTAGAATTTGGAACCATAGAATGATTGAAATATTTTAATTATAATTTCAAGACTTCAAATTTACTTAAATATTGGAAAATATACTATTAATGTAAATATATCACTAATAATATATAACTTAATTAAAAGAATCTAAATTGAAAAAGAATTTTTACTTATCATATTATTATACTTCTGCTTATTTAAATGAAACACTTCTTCAACCATTATTATATATCTTGATGGTATGAAACTCCAATTATTAAATATTCTAACTCGGATATCTTTACCTAAAGTTACCTCAAAACTTTGTAATTTAGAATACAACTTGTTCATGAATAAATTTTCAGATTTCTCAACACAGGTGAGGTCAATAACCGTAAACAAATTGATTGATGGGCCTTCGAATTAATTTTCTGAAGAATCTTAAAATATTAATATAATAAAATAGAACAATTTATAAGTGTATACATGGAATGTTGGATAACACTACATTATTGATGAAAGCTGAGATGAAAGCTATAGGTTTTCAAGGGCATTGTGTTAGACAGGCCACTATTCTAATTGAATAAACCACATTTCACCATTTATGCGGAGGCGCCACGACGGCAAATATCATACGTTATACTACAATTCAAAGGTCATTCAACAACTCTTTATTCAAGATATTACTTAGATATATTTATCATGAAAATTAGAAGTATTGAATATGATTAATAAGTGATTAGTTAAAAAGCATTGCGAAACACTAGTTGAGTTTTCAAAATTAACTGAAAAGTAAGTCATTGATTATCGTATTTAGTAAATGAGAATTACGAAAAAAAATGTAAGAAATACTATATTATTTGTTTTTCTTGAATTTCAATATTATACAAAGAAATAAATGAATCCAAAACACCCTACAAATGCTTCTTTCACAATGTTTAGAATTGTGTAAGTTTATTAATATTATATTTAGCTATTCAAAACCGTAAAAAATAGTTATAGCTTAGTTTCGAAAAATTTTCAAACATTCATTTTACTTAT